TGACCATTTCGCTTAGCATGATACTTTCCATGTTGTACCACTTGTATGTAAATTTCATGACTTCATCTTTTCTAAGCTACATAGTACTCCATTGTGTAGATGTATCAAAGTTTCTTTAACCAGTCATCTGTTCTTGGGCATTCAGGTTTCTTCCAGTTTCTGGCTATTGTAAAGAGTGCTGCAATGAACAAACAAGTGCAGATGTCACTTTGACTATACATTTTTGCCTCTCTGGGATATATTCCCAGGAGTGGTATTGCTGGGTCAAATGGGAGCTCAATTTCTAATTTTTTGAGAATCGTCCATACTGTTTTCCAGAAGGGCTGAACCAGTCGACATTCCCACCAACAGTGAAGGAGTGTCCCTTTCTCGCCACATCCACGCCAGTTGCTTTTGTTCTTTTGAATGCGGGCCAGTCTCTGAGGTGTGAGATGGTATCTCATTGTGGTTTTGATCTGCATCTCCCTGATGATTAATGATGTAGAGCATTTTCTTGTGATTGCTTTTTATATATTAGAGGTGACCACCTCTTGTTATGTTTGTTACAACCATGCCTTTGTCCTTCCCCAGTGAATTCAATAAAATGGTCTTTGAACATTAATGACCACAAAATATCATTCCCTTTTTGCATCACAGTTTTGCTCTATCATAACCCGCCTCTATCATAACCTCCCTCCCCTTGCCGCTGATTCCCTATTTAGAAAGTTTCTACTCACTTCAAGATCAAATATTTGTCTCTTCTGGGTTTTGATGAGTTCCCTGTTTTACATTTAATTCTTTAAAATCCTCTGGAATTTATTTTGGCGTGTGGTGTGAAGGAAGGAGCTAATTTTATTTCTTTCCAAATAGCTAAGCAAATGTCCCGGCATCATTTATTGAATAATCTGCACTCCCCCCCCGCCCCATTTGCACTGCCACCTCGGGGAGCGGAGATGTGGGGGTCTCCATAGCAACGGAGATGCAGGAGCACGGCTGTTCTCGGGCAGGCACTGCTGCCCAGCTGGGGCTGCGGCTTCCTTAATGAAGATGCACCTTTCGGCTTCGCCGTTTCCCAAACCCTCCCTGGATGGCAACGCTGCAGAAAGGAAATCAAGTCCAAGGCTAAATCTGCCCAGGTGGCTGGGTTAGAGGCAGGGAGAAACGGGGTGCCCTGGGGTGAGAGAGGAGAGCTTTTCGCTCCTGGTGCTTGTCCAGAACCTGATGGTGGGGCAGGATGGTTGGGTCCAAGGAAAGCTCAGAGGGCAAGAAATCAGCAGATGTGGTGGGAATGACGACTGGTTCAGCCCTTTTGGAAAACGGTATGGACGATTCTCAAAAAATTAGAATTTGAGCTCCCATTTGACCCAGCAATATCACTCCTGGGAATATATCCCAGAGAGGCAAAAAAGTATAGTCGAAGTGACATCTGCACTTGTTTGTTCATTGCAGCACTCTTTACAATAGCCAGAATCTGGAAAAAACCTGAGTGCCCGAGAACAGATGACTGGTTAAAGAAACTTTGGTACATTTACACAACGGAGTACTATGTAGCTGTTAGAAAAGATGAAGTCATGAAATTTACAAACAAGTGGTACCACATGGAAAGTATCATGTTAAGCGAAATGAATCAGAAAGAGAGGGATAGACATGGAAAGATTGCATTCATCTGGGGAACATAAAGTAACATAATGGGAGACTAACACCCAGGAGTGACCGAGATTAGCACCAGGAATTTTGCTCCACGACTTGGAGGCCAACCACACGTGCTAGGGGAAAAGGAAGCTCAGATAGAGAAGGGAGCACCAAATAAAGGGTATTGGGAGGATCCTCCCAGGGTGGGAGAAGCATGCTGAAAGTAGACTATAGACCAAACATGATTGCCACTCAATGCCTCTCTTGCAAACCACAGAACCCAAAAGGAGAGAGAGAACAAAAGGGAATGACCTGCCACAGAGGCAGGGTGTGATGGGGGGGGGGACGGGGGGTGGGAGGGATGCTGGGACCCGTGGTGGTGGAGGATGGGCGCTGGTGAGGGATGGGTACTTGATCATTGTATAACTGGAACTCAAGCACAAAAATTTGTAAGTCTACAACTGTACCTCATGGTGTTTCACTAATAAAAAAAATAAAAAAAGGCCCTCCCGTTGATCGTCGATTTGCTCGAGCGGGCCCAGTAACGTCTCCATTGGAGACTTTGTTGTTACTGTGTCTGGCATATCGAATACTCTCGGTAGCTTGCCGGGCTCTCCGAGAGGGGCGGAGGAATCGAACTCGGGTCGGCCATGTTGGCCGCTTGTAAGGCGAACGCCCTACCCGCTGTGCTATCACTCCAGCCCCCAAAAAAATAAATAATAAAAAAAAAAGAAATCAGCAGACGGGGGTACAGTGCCGCCTAACAAGTCAGCCTGTTGTGCCTGCGAATCTACCAGCAGCCTGATGGTGCTTTCAGGCTTCCTGATACCCCAAAATTGCCACTTTGTCTTTGGCCAGACCCCAGCCACTTGGGACCAAGTTTCCCAAGAAATTAAACAGCCAAAATTTAGGTATGTGGAAGACAAACCTCCTCTGATTCAGCTATACAAGCTCATTTATCGGCCTTTGCTTCAGAGACCATAAATGAATCCCGAAAGAGATCAAAATCAGAGACGCACGAATGAATCTCAGAGGAGAGCAGCACACTGCAGAGGTGTCTCCCCACCCCGCGCCAGGCTGATTTCACTGGGGCACCTCAGAGGGGGCAGATGTGTTCCTCCACCTGCCCCAAATACACCCCCACAGCCACAAACCTCCAGAACCCAATCGCCGCCACACTCCCGGCCAACCTTCATAGGCTCATCCCAAGCCCTCCACGCATGAGAATGAATTCGTTAAAAAACCCAGGTTTGTGGGACCAGTGACTGAAAACTCTAGACTTCACGGAACTGGGGATGGGCAACCTCCCCCCGTGTCCCCATCCTTCTGGCTCCCTGGCAGTCACGCCCACGAACTGCCTCTGGGCGCCATTTAAGTGCATTAACGGCCATGATTCAGAGAGTCACATATGAATCTCGGAAGAGTGTAGGATGCCACAGAAATGCCTCTGGACCCCAAATATTTTTTAAAAATTTTAGAATTCCAGGAGTGCACGACAGCTCATACTCTTCATAACAAACAATACAAAATAAATTATTTAGCATCTGCCTATGAGGCAGGCTTGGAGGGTGGTGGGAAAATTCGAAATAATAGAGGTGGAATTGGTGTTGAAATGTTGAATATAAACAATTATTGTGGACAACTTTATGAAAATAAAATTTAAAAATGTCTCAAAAAGTAATGTGAAGCTCATGCCTGCTTCAGTCAGCTTAAGAAGTGGCTGAGTGAATAGCAGGACTCCTACATTAAAAGAAAAGAAAAAAATAGAGAAGAAAAGAAAAAAATGAAAGAAAGCAGCAGGGGGGCTGCGGGGATAGGACGGGAACGGGGGTCCTTGTCTTGCCCACCACAGAACCGTCCAAATGCCCAACACTGAGCCCCACTAAGGGTGATCCCTGAGCACCACCAGATGTGGCTCAAACATCCGAATAAAAACCACCACTAGTGCAAAGTAGACAGTGTAGGCTGTGCGGCAGACAGCCGGAGTTTGGGGTTCTGGTCCTTCCACCCGGGCTCTGGGCACCTGGGCAGGTCATGTGACCTCCTTTGCCTCGGTTTGCTCATGGGCACTGTGAGGCTGACGGTGGCCACCGTGGAAGGTGGAGGGGCGGGGTCAGAGGGAGCCATCGCTTCTCTTCCTGGTCTCTGTCTAGTCATTGTCCCAGGAGGGAGTCTGGCCCTCCAAACGCCTATCTAGCCTTATTCTGCTCTCAGGAATCTCTTGTGGGACTCAGGGAACCATATGAAGTGCTGGGGACCAAATCTGAGTTGGCTGGGTGCAAGGCCAGCGCCATCCCCTGTACTATGTCTCCTGTCTCCATGGGATGACCCGGGGACATGCCCTGGAGAGAATGCTATGGGGAGACAGTTTCTCAAGGTATCAGAAGGTCCAGGAGACTAACCAGCCTCCTGGCTGCCTCATTGTGCTGGTCAGATGGCAGAGGCCCTGGCTGCCTCACTGTGCTGTTCAGATGGCAGAGGCCCTGGCTGCCTCACTGTGCTGGTCAGATGGCAGAGGCCCTGGCTGCCTCACTGTGCTGGTCAGATGGCAGAGGCACTGGCTGCCTCACTGTGCTGGTCAGATGGCAGAGGCACTTGCTGCCTCACTGTGCCGGTCAGATGGCAGAGGCATTGGCTACCTCACTGTGCTAGTCAGATGGCAGAGGCATTGGCTACCTCACCATGCCAGCCAAATGGCAAAGGCACTGGAGGCTGACACTACGACCCACATGAGGTTCTGCCAACAAAGGGGCTACTCAGGGGTGGGGTGGGGGGGCAGGGCGGCAGTGAGCTGAGGATGTGGCCTGGAGAGAAAGGAGGGCTCAGACCTCTGCTCCGCATCCCTGTGTGTGGCCGAGTACCCCTTGTCTTTCTGGGGGCTCAGCCCGCCGCACCCTGCCCAGACAGCAGCACTGCAGCCCCATGGGAAGAGCACCTTTATTGTCAGGGGATACAGATGTCCTGCTCCGACCCCTGCCCGTCCCCCCAGGAACCAGACAGGCTGCAGGACACCCTGGGAGCACCCGGGATGGCCACCGCCTCCCAGGACTGGGCAAGAGGGGGTGCGCCTTGGGGTGGCGCCAGCACCTGGGGCGGGCACTGAGCCCAGCCCGCCAAGAGGAGCAGCAGGGACCCTGTGTCCGTGGGAAGAGTCTGGGCACGGGCCAGCAGCCGCCCTCCTGCCGCCTCCAGAGACCAGGGTAGGGGCAGGGGCCTCAGGCTGGCAGGAGGGGCCCGGCAGAGGCGCCCCCATCTCCCAACCCGCAGCCCGCCCTGTGAGCGTCAGCGGCCCCAGGGGCGCTGAGCCCCACGGCCCTGGGGCGCTCCAGAGCGCGGGGCTGGAAGATCGGGTGGGAACCAGGAACAAGGGCTGGTCCTCGGCCCGGGGATCTGCGTATTGCTGGGCATCGCGGGCCTCACTCGGACCCACGCACGCGCTTCTGCCCAGGCTCGGAGCCCAGCAGGGCCGCCAGGGAGCCGTCAGGGGTCGGGCCGCCGCGCTTTGTCTTGAGGCCGGCACGCAGGGCCGCGTCCTGGCCAGAGCCGCCGTCCGGAGAGGCCAGGGGGTCTGGAAGGAGAGGGGAGGGCGGGCGGTCAGCGTCGGGGGTCCTCAGGCACTGGCCAGAGACAGAGCATGTGTCTGGGAGGGCGAAGGAGCAGCCACCGTCTGCTATGACCCCCCCCTCACACCCCCACCCTGCTCATCTCCGTTCATTCCATCCAATTCCTTCATTCCTTGGGCTGGAGCGATAGCACAGCGGGTAGGGCGTTTGCCTTGCACGCGGTCGACCCGGGTTCGATTCCCAGCATCCCATATAGGGTACCCTGAGCACTGCCAGGAGTAACTCCTTGAGTGCAGAGCCAGGAGTAACCCCTATGCATTGCCGGGTGTGACCCAAAAAGCAAAAAAACAAAACAACAATTCTTTGATTCATTTTCCATTCTTTCATTCATCATTTCACCTATCCATTCATTCATTCACTCTTTTTTGGGGGGAGGGCACCACATCCAGTGGCACTCCGAGCTTACTCCTGGTTCTGTGCTCAGGAGTCCCTCCTGGTCGTGCCCAGGGACCGTCAGAGGTGCACGCAAGGCCAGTGCCCTCCCTGCTGTGCTGTTGCTCAGGGCCCTCCAGTCCTTCCTTGCCCTGGCCCCTCCTCACCAATCCTTCATCCCTCCATTCCCACACCCCTCCCCCTCCTTCCCGCCTCCTCCCCCTCCCCCTTTCCTCCCCCATCTCCCCGGGTTCACTCACACACTCATTCATCCATTCAGTTTCCAACAAACGCTGAACCAGACTCGAGCACAGGCCCTGAGGGTGTCAGTCCCCCCCCAGCCCCGCCCCCGCCTCCACACCCCACACCCAACCACTGGAGACAGCTGGAAATCTCCGTGGTGTGCCTCGCGGGGCAGGCAGGCTTCCTGGAGGAGGAGGGCTCCGAGCCGGGTGCCAGTGTCGGAGGTTGGCACCACCGGGGCCCAGCGCTCACCGTGGATCCCGATCATGTGCTCCAGGATCAGTACTCGCTCCGCCAGGATCTTCAGTGCCTCCCGTAGCTGCTGCACTCCCTCACCCTGGCGGAGAGAGGGGCCCCTAGGGTCAGGGGGGGCAGGCAGGGCCCTCCTGAGCCCAGATGGTGGGGCCACTTCCGCCTCCTCCCTCCCTCTAGCACAGTCAGGGCGGGGTTTAGACTGACAACCTGGAGCTCAGAGAGGGCAGTGAGTGGCCTGGGGTGGCACAGCCTAGCACCAACTGGCTTCACCCCAAAGCTACTTTCCGGGGGAGGGCTGAGTCACCCCTTCTTGGCTCTGCCCAACTGCGGGAAGGGAGGGAGCACCATACCCGCCCATGCACGGGCTGGGCCAGGAGCACCGGGAGACACACGGCTGTCCTCAGAGCAAAGCTGCCCGGCGACTCTGAGCACTGGGCCCAGGGCACCTCCGAGGGCGCCTCTGTCTGAGGGGAGGCAGCTCTTGTGAGGACATTGAACAGACTCAGCTCAAATTAAGACCCGGGAAACCAGGGCGGAGCGACCAGACATCGGGGAAAGTGTCTGCCTGGCACCTCATATGGGCCAGGGGTCACTGCCAGGAGTGATCCCTGAGCACAGAGCCAGGAGTAACCCCTGAGCACTGCCAGGTGTGGTCCGATATGCCAAAAAAAAAAAAAAAGACAAAGGAGACCCAAAGGCCTCATGGAGGCCCCCAGCCCACCCCAGGGCCCTGCCACCGAGGCCATTTTCATGTGAAGGCCCCAGCCAAGCCCCTGCCCCTGGGTGCTCTTGGGAACTGGGGGGTAGGTCACCAGTGCTGGCTCAGTCTTCCCCGGGATCTGCTCCAGCCGCCTGCTGCCTCCTGAGCCCATCCCAGCTCTGTGGCACCAGCCTCCTCGCCCAGCTCCAATCCCACAGGGGCCTCTCAGATGCCTCTCGCTGCCTCCTCAGCACCAATCTCCACTGACCTTCTCTGGGAAGCCCCTCTGAGCACAACACTCCTGCCCTCCCACCCCCACCTCGGGAGTCCCCACGGCCATATCCTCCCTTTGCCCCCTTCTTGCGGGCCCCTGTGGGTGCCAGGCCTCACCAGCCACCCCCAAGCAGGGAAACCCCCTATCTGAGACCCTTTCCAGCCTCTCGGGCATGGTACCCCTTAAAGCCCCCCAATGTCCCCGGGCCAGGACCCCCTTATTCCCACACAGGATGAGGGGCGTCGGGGCCCAGGGCGTCACCTCTGCAGCCGCCTTCTCCTCTTCCTCCCCTTTCGTGCCAGGCTCCCCCTGCAGAAGGAAGGAGAGTCCAGTTAGGTATCGCCCGGCAGGGGGCAGACTCGGGTTTTGTGTGTGTGTGTGGGGGGGGGGGGACCGGGCCTGAATGGCGGGACAGGCCCAGACCCTAGCACACAGGGCATGGCTGGGGGTCCCCGAGAGTCAGAGCTCGCCAAGACTGAGTGGGAAGCGGTGGCACCAAGGATGGAGGAAGTTGGTCTTGGGCTCCTCCAGGTGTGGCTTGGGGGCTCACAGGCCAAGGCCTGGCCGGCTGTGTGACTGCAGGCAGACGACTTAGCCTCTCTGGGCCCTGACGCCTGACACGGCCCAGAGGGACATGGGTGTCTACAGGAGCACAGCCAGGCCCCTCCCGCTGGGCCTCCAACTGCGCTGGAGCACAGAGCGGGAGCCTGCACCCCCAGGGGCCTCCGGTGAGGGGGGCTCCAGGTCACTCAGGATGTGAGCCCCAGCCCCTTGCCACCACCACAGGCCTCAGGACCCCCCACTTCCTGGGGGTGCTGTCCACCCCCTGCCCTGTCAGCCTGGACCCCCCGGCTCCCCTGGGCCCCCAGCTCCCCCTGGGCCCCCCTCCCTGCCCGGGGCCCCAGATCCCCCACACTCACAGCCAGGGCCGTCACGCTTTGCTCTGCAGCCGGGCCCTGTGGGAAAGCGCGCCCAGAGGGTCAGTGCTCCCCTCCCTCCTCCCCCTCCACTGTGCTCCGGGTCCCCCAAACAGGCGGAGAGGGACACTGGGGGGGCCCTTCCCTGTGAGCCCACTAGGACACGGCAGGACTCACAGACGGATGAAAAGGGAGGGGATCAAAGCAGGCCCAGTGAACCCCGACATGGAGGCACCCCCAGGAGAAGCTGAGGTACCACCCGGGATCCCTGGGACCCCCACCCCAACCAGAGGCACCCCAGATGCCATCAGCGGACAGAACCCAGCCCGGGGCCCACCCAGCCCCCGCTGTCCCCGTCAGAGCCCCCTGCAGCCTGCATGCAGGCACAGAGGGGCACGGGGATCCTGAGGGCAGAGACCACCCACCACACCCCACTGCCCGCCCCTTGTTCTCCTCTGTGCCCAGAACCACCCAGGGGTGCCCCCACGAGGTCACACAGCTCCGTGCAAGACAGGATTCGGGGTTCGGGGTTCGGGAACTGGAGTGCCCATCAGGCCCCTGGGAGCCGCAGGTAAAGGGTCTGTGGGTCAGGGGTGCATCACTGCAGGGCCTTACCTGGGACCCGGGCGCCCCAGGGGGTCCTGGGGGTCCGTGTGGGCCGGGGGGACCTGTCGGCAGAGTCAGAGCAGTCACGGGCCAGGACCCCCGACACTGCCCCAGCCCCACCTGCTGCACCGAGGGCCGCCCCGCAAGGCCCCCTCCTGCTGACCCCACCCCACACCCCAGCCCCCTGCTCCCTCTGCTCTCACCTGGCGGACCTGGGGGGCCCCGGGGCCCCGGGACCCCTGCCAGCACCGTGTCCACGGCGGCCGAGGCCAGCTGTGTGTCTGCATCTGCGGGCAGAGCAGAGCCACCCTGTGAGGGCTCAGCATGGGGAAAGTGCGCTCCCACTGGGTGAGGGTTGCGGGGACCAGGCCACAGTGCCACATCGGGCACCAACTCCTTCCGGAACCTTCCAGGCCCTCCACAGTGCCCAGCCCCTTCTAGGCTACAACCCACATGCCGGCTCTGTGCCTGCTAGGTTCACTCTGTGTCACCTCCTCCAAGAAGTCCACTGGAACACCCCCCCCCACAGAGTCCTTCAGCCTCCATCAGGGCCTCTGGGCAGAGGGGGGTGTCTGTCTAATGACCCCCCCCCATGGTCTGGGTGTTCCACGGGGAGCCAATAGGACAGTCAAGTCCATAGGCCCCCAAAATGGGGGGAAGTCCTTCCAGAGACACTGGCAGGGGACCCGGAGCCCTGGGGGTGGTCAGAGGCCTTGTCTGAGGGGGGCTCTGAGCCCCCAAAGCTCTTCATAAGCACAGTCTGCCCTGCCCTGGCATCCCCCAGCCCCAACATCCTGTCTCAGAACTGAGGTTAATCCAGCAGCTTCCAGAACCTTCCCCCGACAAGCATCATGCACCAGCCCCTAGGGAACCCTGGAGCAGTGGTGAGTGGGGGTCCCTGCCCCATGCAGACCCCCACCGGGCAGGCCGGCCAGGTGTAGGAGATATGGGGCCTGGCAACCACCTTGGGGAACCCCCAGACTGACGGTGCCCCAGGCCCAGAGGACCGACCCCCACACTCACTGGCCTTGTCCGCCGGCTGCAGGGAGTAGAGGACACCGTGGGGGCTGCCCGCGGGGCCAGGGGGGCCAGGGGGCCCGGGGCGCCCCATCTCCCCAGGAAGTCCGCGGGGCCCAGGTGGCCCCAAGAGGCCTGTAAGGGGGAGAAGAGACATGAGGCGGGGCTGCAGCACGAGGGATATGGGGGGGCACGGGATGAGATATGGGGTGTGGGAATTTGAGGTGTGGGGCAGGGTGGGGGTGTGTGGACTGGGGGGCACAGGCTGTGGGCACGAGGTGTGGGGGGGTTCAGAGGACAGGACCCGAGAGGGGGTCGCAGGTGCGACTCCTGAGGGGTCACAGACCCCCTGAGTGTGAGAATACGGGGATCTGGGTTTGAGGGAAGCAGGGAGTCCCCCAGCTCTCAGGACCCAGGGGGGACACTGCACCCCATGACTAGACATGTCAGCAGGTCCTACCAGGGTGTCAGCCAAAGCCTGAGACCAGGGGATCCTCCAGGGACCAGCGGATCCCACTGTGATCAGGGGATCCCTCGGGGATCAGGGACCCCTCAGGACCCAGCAGCGTGGGTGTGGCTGGCAGGGAGGTCTGTGCCCCTGGCTGGCAGTCCCCTCCCAGCTTTCGAGGGGTGCAGGGCCGCCCCCTCCCCAGGGGCAGAGTCCAGGGAGGGTCTCCCTCCTTACCTGGTGGCCCCGCGGGGCCTTTCTCCCCCGCCTGGCCCCGATCCCCCTTGGAGCCGGGGGGACCAGCAGGCCCTGGAGCTCCTGTCTGCCCGGGGGGCCCTGGGGAAAGATGAGGCAGGCTGAGAACCGCCCCTAGCCCCCAGTTCCACAAAGGGGGAAACTGAGGTTCAGAAAGGGCAGCTCCTGCTCTCCACATCCTGCTGCCTGAGAAAAGGCCGGGAGAATCAGAGGGGCATCGGGACGGGGACCGACGGGAGGGGGGGTGGGGTCCCGAGAGGGGAACCGGGCGGGGACACGTCCACCCCCCTAGCCTTGTCCGCGGCGCGCAAGGCTCCATTTGTGTGGAGCGAGCGCCACCCGGTGGCCACTCCCTGGAACTACACGTTCCCTCCGTAATCCTGACGGGAGCCGGCGCAACTTGACCTCACGCCTGACCTCTCCGAGGCTGCAAAGGTCTGAAGCCCCTGCACCAAGCTCCGTGACCCGTATACGATCACAGGGACCCCCTATACCTCTCCCCTGGACCCCCACCACGGCGCCGAGTAGACTCTGGGCCGGGGCTCAGCTGCGCTGGACAAAAGCTGCAGACCCGGTGACCAGCACAAGCAGGTGACCAGCACAAGCCCGTGACAGCCCCGTCTGTCCCCGCCCTGCAGGTGCAGCTGTCCCTCCCGCGCCCCGCCCGCCCTCCCCTCTCCCCTCTCCTCTCTCTCCCTCTTTCTCTCCCCCTCCCTCTCCCCCTCTAAACGCTAGCAGTGGAAGGGAGTGTCAGTGTGCGAGCAGGATTCTGGGGTTCCCAGAACAGGCCTGGAGTGGGGGTGGCCACGGCCCAGCCTTCATAGTATGGGGTCAGGAGACCCTGTCCTCCCCATCCGGGAGCCAAGTGAGGCTGGGCAGGGCTGGGGGCCAACATGTGGGGGCAGCGGTAGACCCAGGGCGACAACAGGTTCCAGCGAGCACTGTGTACAGAGCCTGCCCAGCACACTGCCTCGGGTCAGTCCTGCTCACCTGCCGGGCCCGTGGGCCTCCTGCGGGGCTGTGCCAGGGGGATGGCGTCGGGGAGGAAGTCCTCGTTCCAGGGCGGGGGGCTGCCCTGCGGGGCCGGCAGGTCGTTGTCAGGGCCCGAGGGTGGAGCGGCTGCCTCCAGCAGGATCACCTGCGCCAGGGAGACAGGCGGGCAGGGGTGAAGCGGGGTAGGGAGGGCACCCCTGCTGCAGGTCACCCCAGGACCCTTCCTATACCAGGGCCTTGTGGGGGTGGCCATCCTCATCTCTGTATTCTTCTGAGGACCCCTCACTGGCTCCTTCCCAGACCCTCCACAAGAACCCTTGCAGGGAACAGACAGAACCAGTGGGAGGAAGGAAGGGAGGGAGGGAGGGAGGGAGGGAGGAAGGGAGGGAGGGAGGGAGGGGGGGAGAGAGAAAAGGAGGGAGGGAGGGACGGAGGAAGAAAGGAAGGAAGGAAGGAAGGAAGGAAGGAAGGAAGGAAGGAAGGGAGGGAGGGAGGGAGGAAGGAAGGAAGGGAGGGAGGCAGGGGGAAGAGAGAAAAGGAGAGAGGGAGGGACGGAGGAAGGAAGGAAGGAAGGAAGGAAGGAAGGAAGGAAGGGAGGGAGGGAGGGGGAAGAGAGAAAAGGAGGGAGGGAGGGACGGAGGAAGGAAGGAAGGAAGGAAGGAAGGAAGGAAGGGAGGGAGGGAGGGAGGGAAGAAGGAAGGAAGGAAGGAAGGAAGGAAGGAAGGAAGGAAGGAAGGAAGGGAGGAAGGAAGAAAGGGAGGGAGGGAGAAGGGAGGGAGGGAGGGAGGGAAGGAGGGAGGGAGGGAGGCAGGGAGGGAGGAGGCAGAGGCAGAGGAAGGTGGGAGGGGCAGGGGCGGGAGGGGCTGCGTCCCCCCACTGCATGTCCCTCCCACCTGGGCTGCTCTGGTCAGTGATGCTTCTGCTGCTGCAGCACGACCCAGCCTGATGGAGGAGGCTCCCAGCTGGCTGGGAGGAGTGCGGGGGCAGGGGCAGCCGTTCCCTCCCTCCTCTGAGACTGGCCTCTGTCTGCCCTTCCCACCAACCCCAGAGAAGCCCCAGCCCCGGGTTCCGGGTGCGCCTGACCTTGGCCTCCAGTGTGCTCAGCCTCTGGCTCATGTCCCTGAGGCGGGTGCAGTTCATGCATTCTGAAAGAGAAGGGCGGGAGCAGAGCATGACGGGGCACCCAGACAGACCTCGAGCTCCAACACATGCTTCAGGGCCTCATCCTCAACGCCCCCTCCTCCAGCCAGCTTGCCTGGACTCAGCACTTTGGAGCCAAAGTCCGCTTTGTGCAGCTGCAGCTCCTGGGGCGCCTTGTCAAAGGCCCTGGAGCAGCTCAGGGCAAGGGCCCACAGACCTCAGGAAGGGGTCTGAAGCTGTCCAGGTGTCCACAACAGCGCCCTGACCTTGGGGACCAGGGCATGGGCTGGTAAGGGTTACGCTGGGGCTCTACAGTCATCCTGGGACACCAGAGCCAGTCAGGCTGGGTGCAGTCAGGGAAGGCTGCTTGGAGGCAGTGGCATGGGAGGGAGGGAAGGGATGCACTGTGATTGGCCAGGTTGGTGGAACAGAGGGAGCACTGAGGCCAGAAGAGGAAGAGAATAGGTGAGGGCTGCTGAGGCTGGGGCCCCCTCCCCCCCAACTCCCCTCCCCCACTTTGACCTCCGACCTTTCCCCAACCATCCCCTCACCCATGGGGACACGCCTGGTCCTCTCGCCTGGTCGCCTGGTCTTCTCGTGAGCCCCTTAGGGACGTGGTATGACACTGCTGAGCTCGGCCCTCCTCCCTCTCCCTCCTCCCTCCTCCTCCCCCCACTCACCCCTCCTGGGGGCACATAGGAGTAGGAGGGAGCCCACCCCACCCAGGGAACATCTGGCCTGTCGGGGGATTGTTGGGGAGGTGGGCAGAGGGTCCCTGGGCTCCCGGGAGCTGTTTCTGGAAAGCGCTGGCCCAGCCCAGTGTGCTCTGGCACTGGGCGCCCGTGGCAGGAGGTGTGAGGGGGGAGCGAGGCCGTTGCCCTCCTTCCTGCACCCTTCCTGGCTGGCACTCACTTGGGGCCGGGAAGTCTTGTGGCTTCCGGGACCCCCTGACGCTTGTTCAACATTCTCCACCCCTGGCACCGGCTGGCCCTGGGAGCCACATTTCCTGCACAGATGCCGAGTCAGGAAACCGAGGCCCAGGGGAGGCACGGGAGCTGGGCGGCATGTGGGCGCCTACGCGCGCCCGTATGTGCATGTCTGCCTGTGTGTGCACGAGGGCTGGTGTTCACGCATGTTGACATGCGTGTACATGTGTGTATGTGTGTGTGCCTATGTATGCATCTGTGAGCGTGTATATGCATGTCTGCCTTGTGCACGAGGGCTGGTGTTCACACATGTTGACACGTGTGTGCCTATGTATGCATGTGTGAGCATGTATGTGCGTGCCTGCCTTGTGTAAGAGGGCTGGTGTTCACGCATGTTGACACATGTGTACGTGTGTGTGCCTGTGTGGGCACGTCTGCATGGATGGACATGCCTGTGTGCACGTCTGTGTGGGCTTATGAGTTATGTCTGTGTAAGTATACCTGTGTGCATTTCCATGTTGCACAGTGTGTGTGTGTGTGTGTGTGTGTGTGTATTGGGCATGCATTGCTGTGTGTCTGTGATCACATGTGTGCACACATAGGTGTGCATGGGAGTGCCTGTGTGTTACCCATGAGTGTCTATATGTGGCCTGTGGAAAGACAAGTGTCCATCAGTAACTCATGTGACCTGAGAGGGTCCCCATGCCTCAGTTTCCCCATCTGCCAGAGGGCTGACACTGGATCAGCCTGTGACTCTCTGGACCACGCACTGAGTCTCGGATCCCCCAGGGGCTCTGGGTTCGGGGGGGGTGCTGGACACAGGTGAGCCCAGGGCCCAGCTCCCTCCGACAGTGGTCTCGGGGGGATGTGTGGGGTCCCCAGCAGACCAGGTGTCCCGAGGAGCCCCCAAAGTCAGTGTAGACCAAGCCTGGCGGGGCTTGGCGGACCCTCTGGGGGCAGAACCAGAGTCAGTTGTGTCAGGGCAAGCGCCTTCACCCCTGCACCATCTCTCCTGGCCCAGGATACACTTTTCTTTGGCCGGGAGTGGGGAAGGGAGCGGAACGCCCCGTGGTGCTCTGGAGCTCCTCCTGGCTCTGCACCAGGAATCATTCCTGGGTGGGGGGCTTGGGGTCTCTGTAGCATCCTGGGGATCAGACCCAGCGGCCATCAGGCAACCTCCCTCCCGGGGCTCTGCGGCTCTGGCCCAGGAGACACTTTTGTTTGTTGGTTGGTTGGTTTCGGGTCACACAGAGGTTGCTCTTGGCTCTGCACTCGGGAATTACTCCTGTGATTCCTGACGGTGCTCCATACGGATACTGGGGAGCAAACCGGGTTCTCTCGGACCCCAGAAGACACTTTGATAGAAGCAGAATGGGGCCCGGCGGTCTCAGGAGCAACATGGGGACTGTCCACCAGGGGGAGCCAGCAGAAAGACAGAGACAGCAACGTTGGGGCAGGATCAGCAGGGCGCCGGGCAGGTCCCCCAGGGTCCCCCCTCCCCGTCCCGTGCCCCACCTTGCCCTGACCCTGTCTAGTGCGTGAGATGAGACGGTTTCCAACTCGGGACTGATCCCCAACATTGCCTTGGAACCCCGAGCAGCCAGGAGTGATGTGAAGTAACTGGGCACCACCAGGTGTGACCCCCCCAAACCAAGTAAAATAAAATGTATAGGCAATGCAAGGGCCACAGAATAACCAAGGCAGCCTGGAAGAAAAACAAAGAATAACCAAGGCAGCCTGGAAGGAAAACAAAAGCAGAAGGCTAATGCTTGCAGAATGAAGACCCATTGTAGAACTGTAATGGTACGTAGTATTAGAACTATGTTATATATTAGGCACTCAGAGTGTAAGGACAGACAGACAGACCCACACGGGCAGTCAGCTGAGTGATAAGACCCAGGCGCAGTTTTGTCAGGTGAGGATAAGTATTTTCCGAAAAGGTGCTGGGCTCTCCCCATGGGAAAGAAAGATGCAGGAATCGGCCCCGACCATGGTGACCGGAGTCCAATTCTAGAGGGAAAGTAAAATTAAACGTGGAACCAACACAGCACTCAGAGGAAGGGGAGACAGAAGTCAGGCGGCTGACTCCCTCGCCTGAGAATAAATAAGGGCTTCTCAGGACACAAAAACGTACCAACACCAACAAAAACTGTCCATGGCATAGGGCACATTCGAGCTAATTTCCTGGGGTGGAGTGCTAGTCTGGCAAAGAAGGCGTTTGCCTTACACGCAGCCCACCCCGGTTTGAACCCCGACATCCCACACATAGGGCCCCCAAGCACCACCAGGAATGATTCTCGAGTGCAGAGAGCCAGGAAGAACCCCTGAGCATCGCCAGGTGTGGACCCCAAAGTAAAAAAAATAATAATAAAACTAAATTAACTTAGTTTTACCCAGGACACATTAAGCGTGTGTCAGCGAGCAGACGATTCTAGAATACACACCCATAAAATGACACATTCGTGGACAAATTCTCTGCAGAGAGGCGCAACTCAGGACAGGGGGGTGTGGAACGCAGCAATGCCAAAGGTGCCAGTGCCCAGGGCTGCTTGTGGGCAGCGGCGAGCCCCTTCCCCCAGGGCCCAGCGGTTGCCTGGCATTGACACCCACACTTTAAGCGGTTCCGCTTCTCTGCGCTGAGCTTCACAGTGGGCGCCGCTGGGCTCACGGGTGACCCCTGGTGGTGCTCACTGACCGGATATGGAACCGGCACTGACCAGGCCCCAGGGAACAGACCTGAGCCCTGACTCTGCAAGCCGACACACACTTTTTTGTTCTATTGTATTTGTGTATCATTCCCGGCGATGCTCAGGGGTTACTCCTTTCTCTGCGTTCAGGAATCACTCCTGGTGCTGATCAGGAGGCCACCTGGGGTGGCGGGGATCGAAGCCGGGTCAGCCATGTGCCAGGGAAACACCCTCCCTGCCCCACACATGCACTTTTCAGACAATTCTGGGGGTCCAGGGCATGCCTCTGTGAGGGCAGGACACGGTACGATCGGAGCCCCGGTGGGTCTCTGGCACTGTGGGTCCCGACACCACCTGGTCTACCGCTCACAATAATCTTACTAAAGAAAAAGGAGTGAGGGTCTGGAGCAATAGCACAGCGGGTAGGGCGTTTGCCTTGCACGCAATTGACCCGGGTTCGATTCCCAGCACCCCATATGGTCTCCTGAGCACCACCAAGGGTTATTCCTGAGCGCAGAGCCAGGAGTAACCCCTGTGCATCGCCGGGTGTGACCCCCCCCCAAAAAAAGAAAAAGGAGTGAGTGACCGTGAGGTGGCCCTGGAGAAGCTGACCAGAAGCTCACTGCCCACCCAATCTGGCACCAGGAAAGAGCCGGCTTCACCAGACGGGCCTGGCTGGGAACGGGGTGCTGACCCCAAATCAAACCACAGTTTCCCACCAACGGCATGGCAGGTGGCAGGCACACAGGGTGGGGCAGCCCAGGCTGCCAGGATGGTATGGCCTCGTGAGAGACCCAGAGGATGCCCGGCTATGCACTGCTGGTGCCAAAATTACTGTCCAGGTAGGTCTCGCACACAGGTGGGGCAGTGTATGGGAAATGTGCCCAGGCCCCCAGACCAAGGGGCCTGCAGCTGGTCACCCCATGGAGCAGCCCTGCCTGAACCCTTCTCAAATGCCAGAGCAGATGGCAGGCCGACTCCTGGCTTCTCATTTTGTTGTTTGTCCGCTTCTGGGCAGTGCTCAGGGCTGACTCCCGGCTCTGTGCTCAGGGACCACTCCGGGGAGTGCTCAGGGCTGACTCCTGGCTCTGTGCTCAGGGACCACTCCAGGGAGTGCTCAGGGCTGACTCCTGGCTCTGTGCTCGGGGCCACTCCGGGGAGTGCTCGGGGCTGACTCTTGGCTCTGTGCTTGGGGACCACTCCGGGGAGTGCTCAGGGCTGACTCCTGGCTCTGTGCTGAGGGGCTACTCCTGGGAGTGCTCGGGGCTGACTCCTGACTCTGTGCTCAGGGACCACTCCGGGGAGTGCTCAGGGCTGACTCCTGGCTCTGTGCTCAGGGACCACTCCGGGGAGTGCTCAGGGCTGACTCCCAGCTCTGTGCTCAGGGACCAG